TACTAAAGTTAAATTTGTCAGGTTTTTTTGTTTGCTTGTTTTTTTACCATCAGGGAAGTAGCAACTATGGACCTACACACACTAGCCATCCAACTATGACTGGGTCAAATCTCTTGGATAAATATGCCACTGGTTTTCCCCAGGATCCCAGGGTTTGCATGAGGACCCACTAGGCAATGCCTCTGGTCTTATCCACATGTAAGAGAAATGTCTTAGGGATGTCTGTGAGGGCCAAAGCTGGGGCAGGATCTTTTTTAAGGCCTCAAAGACCTCCTGCTCTGTCTCAGTTCATTCCAAAGGGGTACCGGGGCTTGGCCATCTCAGCAAATAGCCTGCAGTAGCCGCCAACCCCCAGGAATCCCCACACTTGTTTTGTTTTCTGATGTGGGGCAGGGATTTGCAGGATGGCTGAAGTGTGGTATTGGGAAGCATCTGCTTTCCTTCATCTAGGCTGTCTAGGCATGTGACTGAGACTCTCCCTCAGGGCTCGGAGGACTACTTTAGCCATTCTGCTGCCTGTCCACACTCCTCCTCACTGTTCAGAGCCACAAGGCCAGCTGCACATACTGGAGCAGGGCGCTTTGTGGGTATTTTTTGTCTAAATTCCAACAGATCTGCACTCAGGGCCCCAACAAACAGTGCTACTGAGCCCACAAATCCCTTACCATTGTGTTTGTGTTTCTCTTTTGTGTTTCCCCAGGGGCAGAACACAACGAGAGCTTCCTTCTCTGTCTTCAACTTCGGCTGTTGTGAACTTCCTGAGCAATTTATGAAAGTTGAGACCTGTTTATTCCTTCAAATATCTCTAATTTCTGGAGCTTTCGCCTCACATCTGGAGCCAGCTACATGATGATACTACCAGTGGCTCGCTTGTTTAGGGGAGCATCTGGGTCTATATGGGTAAATACCCAATTTGTGTCACAGAGCCTTTCCAGAAACCCAGAAGGCAATTCATCAGGTCCTTGAGTAACCTGATACTTTTCATACTCCCAATAATGTTTGTTAAAGAAAATCCTCCAAAGCCCTCTTACCTTAGAAGTTTCCAATGGACTGTTTCTAGCAGGCTCTAAAGACCAGCAGCGTTTTCAAAGATGGAGGGTTTGGGGTCTTCCACTTGCATCCATTACTGGGACATAAACTGCACACCGAGGAGCTGAACTCCTACTCTTCTGGTGGTGGATCAGATAACTATTTTCTCCTCCTGCAGCAGGATTGAGAACAGGCATAAATTTTGGGTTTCTCTGGGTGACCTAGCTGCACCAAAAGTATTTGGGTCATCAAGAGGACACAGGTCTTAACCCAACGGTGTATCTCGCACCAGAGAAGCCACTGGTTATGACAGTTAAACTGGTGGCTGTAGTTGGTATACATATATGCACATGTGTATATATGCATGAATATATATACTCATACAAATGCATAAAAATACATATTTAAAATGAACTCTAATTTCATCAGTTGATACACTAAATATCAATTTTAATCTTTGATGATTCCCAAAGCCACTCCTTTGTATCCTGTATAGCCTTGAATCAATTTTCTATTAGAGTTAGCTATTTAGAGCTTATTAACTACTAAACTACACAAGTTATCTGCAAGAATTCCTGCACTTACTTCCTTTTGCAGAACTCATAGGGCTTGAACTAGAAATAGAAATTGAATCGAGTACCAATCTTCTCTACATAATTTTACTATTTTTTTCAAACTTTCAGAGCAGTGAGTGTATCTTTTATTGCAGAGATACTGAGAGAAATTACTTTGGACACACTCTTATGTGAAGCAAATGCAATGCCAATCTATAGTATATCTGCGGACATAAACAAAAGTCCCAAAAGTGGGCAACAAAGCATTCCATTGCCATATAAAATGAGAGAGACCTTGCCCAGGTAAGTAACGTCAGTGTGTGCTTCAGCATTCCCAATGGGGACCACTGTTCGTGCACTGCAACGAAAACTACCAACTATTTTTAGTGCCATAGTAGTTTTCTCATAAAAAAGGTATACATGCTGTGGTTGTTTGAGTAAGAATAGACCCACAGCCAGGCTGTAGTGGCACATGCCTTTAAGGCAGGCGGATCTCTGAATTTGAGGCCAGGTTTGTCTATAAAGCTAGTCCAGGACAGCCAAAGATAAAGAAACTTTGCCTCGAAAAACTAAAACAACAGAAAGTAGCTCATAGGCTCATATATTTGAGTGTCTAGTTCCTAGCTGTTGTAATGTTTGAGCAGGATGAGGTGTGGCCTTGTGAAGAAAGTGTCACTGGAGATGGTGGCCTTTTGAAACCTTAAAAGCTTTCCTTTTCTCTGCTAGATCAGGATGTAGCTCTCATCAACTTCTCCAGGTCCATGCCTGCCTACCTGCATGATGTCATGCTCTCTGCCACATTAGTAGACTAAGCCTCTGAAAATCAAGCAACTCTTTTTAAGAGTTAGGTTGGTCAGAGCCTGCCCAGCGCCATTAACATCTGCCTGGGACGGACTGCCCTGGGCTTGAAGGAAAGAACACGGGCTGTTGGCCAGGGTATGGATGAGCTGGCCCTGCCCCTCCCGCCTTCCATGTAGTGGCATGGGTGAAGGAAAGATGCCCTCTCCTCACCACCTGTGGCCGGCAGGAGAGCTGACCCTGCCCCTCACTAACTGCAGCACCAGGACAGCATGCCCTGCACCTTGCTTAGGCAGCACAGCAGAGCTGACCCTGTTGGCAGGGGTGTGAAAGCAGAAGAGCTGAATCCCCCACACTTGCCAAATAGTGGGTGGTATGGGTGAGGGAAAGATGCCTTCCTCCCCTTGCCCTTCACCACCTGCAGGAGAGAGGAGTGCTGGTCTGGGGGGAGGGGGGCACACATAGAAGTGGGAGAACTGGCCCTGCTCCTTACCAGCTGCCACACTGAGTGGCCCCTGCGCCTCACTTGGGCAGCACAGAAGAGCTGGCCTTGGTGGTAATGGTGTGGGGTGAACCATCCCTTGTTGCAGAGTTAGCCAGGGAGGTTCTGGGAAGCATGCCTGTTGATGAGGAAGAGGTGGTGGACTGAACAACCTAGCTACCACCCAGGTGCAGAACCAGGGCTATGATATCTTGTAGAAAGCAAGAAAATGTCTCAAAATTTTATAATTAGCTGCCATCTTAGAAAATGCAGACTATTTACAATTTTAATCACAGGGATTTATACATTGTCACACACTATCCACCAAAATTTCCCATCTTGTAGATATGACAATAAGTCAATGATATTTTTGAAAAAAAGCTTTATTCGTTTATGCAAAGATAGTATCAGCAATAGGTAATAGGAACATACTTTTAAGTTTAAAATTAATCTTTCATTTTGAAAGGCTCAGTACTTTTCTTTTCCCCTTCTCTTAAATACTTGGCTCCAACAAAACAGCAGGTGAAAATTTATTCCCTTACTTTTCCTTAAGTCATACATCAACAATTACAATTGTTTTTTAGAATTTAGGATATCATTCATAGTAAGCTGGAGATTTAATCACAGAGTGGCACATGCAAGACTATTAACACAAAAAAAAATACAAATGCACTGGGGGGAAAAGGGACAAACAAAAGAACAAATTTCAGCACATTTCCTAGTTTTCTGGTACACTGACCTCTTGGAGACTTAAAAAGATTTTGTCCTTCAGATACAGAAATTAAGAGTTAAGATCATTATGGACACTTATGACATGACCCTATTTGAAGGAAAGGGCTAATACAAGGCATTGTAAAACTAATGTGCATGGCAGGTCAGACGGTATCTATCACCGTCCCAGAGCTACATTCCTAAGGCTTAGCCCCTGAACTGCTCACAACTGTTACTTGCCTACTTTATACCATGGAACAAATCCTGACAGAATGGGAATACAGGGTGAAAACAACTGTGGGCACAGTCTCTCTGCTGTTACAATGTATAATATCCAATGAAGAGACCATCTAATTTAAAAACAGATTAACTACCATTCTTGGGATACAATTATGAAACAAATTTTGTGGTTTAGAAATGTCAAAATTACATACTTTGACTGTTTTGGACATATTTTACTTTACAAAAGGAAATACAAGAGACTAACAAAACTAAAAACCTATTTACTCTGTAACAACTTATATTTTGAATGTTTTTATAAAAATTTCTTTCAGATACTCTGATTAACTTTTAAGTGACATAAAAAATTTTCAGCACTCTTTAATGCCAGTATTTTGCACAATTTTAAGACAGCCATTGAGTTTAGCATTTTTAGAAAAAAGAGTATTACTCATTGAGAATAGCTTATACATCTAGCATAGTTTAGTTTGTCTCGGATTCTTTAAACAAAATTACACCCAGAATTTCAGATATCCTAATTACCATCCCAACCAAATAAATATGTGCATATGTGTGGATTCTAGCAAAAGGGTAAAATATTTTGTATAAATGTAAGACCCACTGATTGGACTGTTAAGAATCTGTTTCCTGGGCTTAGATAAGGAAGACTTCAATAAAGTTAACTATATACTGAGTTCCACTGATTAAAAATGCAGTTCTAAAAATTCTGCTCTTGTGGCAAATGTTTAAACAAATAATAAATGTAAAGCACAATACTGTAAATACTGTACTGTTCAGGTACCTGTTGAGAAGTGAAATGCTTGTAGCCAAACTATCAAAATTCCGACCTTTCAAAATAGGTTTATAAAATCCTTTTTCTTGAAAATTAGTACTTGCTTTTGAACTCTTAAAATGCCAATTTTAATTACAAGTCCTTAAGTCTTAAAAGTTATTCCTTTCAGCTATTTTTCAATTATTTGAAAATTATTTATCTTTTTTACTTGCAATTATTTTTCTTTCAACTATATAATGAACACAAAACCAGTTTCTATTTAAACATCAAATTAACACATTCAACATAAAACTAGGCAATCTAATATAACTTTTATACAATACAAAATCTGAGTGTGATTTGTCAAAAATTCTGTAATAGTAAAACCTTTCCGTCTCTTAATATTCAAAACTAACAACCTTGTGAGACTACAAAGTTAGCAGAGATGATCAGATTTAAGGACTGCCCGGCTTCTTCTAAAATGATGCACTCTTTTATCCTAGAAGAGACAAAATTATTTTAAATCACTGAAAATTCCATACTACCATTACTGATCTAAGATTATGAAATAGTATGTTGGTTTAAGTTTAAATATAGTGAATGAGGAAAGGGGAGGCATTTGGTGAAACTCTGTCCAACAATAAATGTAAGGCTTTGTTAAATGACAAAATTAAAAAAGAATTCAACTCAGAAATATTACAATTAGTACCATTTTAAATAATTAATGATTTAAAGACAGCAGAAAATTCTTAAAACTACTCTTTAATTTTTTTCACTAGAATTTATTTTGTGTGTATAAGCATGCATGCAGGCATGCATAGCCCATTATGTGGAGGTCAAGAGGACAATATGCACAGTCAGTTTTTCTCCTACAACATGTATGTTTCAGGGATTAAACATAGATCACCAGGTTTTGTGCCAACTGCCTTTATTTGATGAGCCACCTTGCCAGCAAAACAAAGTAAGAACTATCCAACAAACAACCCCAAGGCTTGGGTCTGGAGAAATGGTCTGGTGGTTTCAGCTCACAAACTGTTTACTCTAATTTCAAAGGATCAGACACTCTTATCTAGCTTCTGTGGGCATCAGGCACATATATAGTACAGACATACACACAGGCAAAGTACCTGTATACAATTAAAGAGAGAATTAAAACCTTCCCAAAAGAAACAAACAAATCCCTATTTTTTTTATTAACTATTCCATCTGACAGAAACCCTATTTGAGAACTGTACTGTGTTTCAATTTGAAATCCTTTATTTTTATTAAAAAGCTCAAAATCTTGTATATTTAAGGCTTAGTGCAATCTGTGCACCAAAGAACACTCGGACACAGGTTACAACCGATTGGAAATTGTTTTGTTTTTTCATTATTCGGAATTTAAGTGTAGTCCAAGCATTTAAAGGAAGGGGCTTTTAAGTGCAATCTGTGGAGATGTATCATTCTTTATGAAGCAAAGGTAAGAATATTTAAAATGTTTTCTCAAGGGGTGGGTCCTAGGAACACTCTCCCCCATGGATATGAAGACCTAAGGATTGCTCAAATCTCTTATATAAGATGATATGTTTGTATATACACTGGTGATCTTTCTGTATACTTTAAATTTCTCAATTTTTCTACCTAATGTTCTATGTGAACATTCTACCTAAATTTCTATGTGACTGGAGAGGTGGCTCATTTGGCAAAGTATTGCTGTGCAAGCCTGAGGGCCTGAGTTCAGGTCCCTAGCACCCCCTTTAAAGGGCTAGTATTAGAGGTGTACTATATAATCATAGTGCTGGTAGAACAGAACCAGAAATAAACAAATCCCTCCGGCATACATCAGCCAGTTTAGCCAAATGGACAAGCTCCAGATTCGGCGGAAGATCCTGTTTCAAAAAGGTGGCAAGACACCAATGTCTATCTGACTGCTACAAGTACCCTCACATGTACACAAGGTACACACATTATCAGCTCCATGTCAATAAAATAACATCCCACTTAGGTTGGGGCCTTGAAAACTGGTCACAAATTTACACATTTTTAGATGTTAGGTAGGAATTAAAATTATGGGGCTGAAGTTAAAAGAACAATGATGGAAATACACAGTACATTCAATTTCAATAACAAACAGTAATTAGTTGCTTATAATAGGTCTGTGGCTCCATGTGCTTGTTCTGTAATCAGGAGGCTAAGAACTTGGGATCCCAGAATTGCCAACATCTACTATGGGCCTCCACACAAATATTCTGACTGATCTGTGAACATGCACGCACATACATACATATACACACAAAACAGACAACAGCAGGTTTCTCTACTAATTTCTGATTCCTAACTAGAGGGAAAGAAATCTCTAGATTTCAAAGGGAAGTATTCTTTCTTTCCAACACAAGGTGAAAACTCAATTTTGAACACTTTTGTTTTCAAACATCATTTAATACTTTCAGAACTTTGGGGCAAACTGCTGCAGTTACATACTGCACTGTGTAGAAAAAAATTTTAAATGAGCATCTTTTGCTCATCATATTGCAAACACACTGTAGGTAATAACTTTCACTGCCTAGTAAGTTAGAAATGAAAATAAGCAAGGGGTTTATTTCTGGAATGGCTAAGACATTTTTAAATTTGACTTATGGTTGTACAGATAAGTAAAAAATACTAAAAATTCATTGAATTTTTAATGAATTTAAATGAGTTGTATGACATCCATATTACACTTATCCTTTATTATCTCAAAATATCTTTCCCAGAATGCAGTATTCTCTCCAATGAACTCGCCAATTAATAGACTTCATATTTGGACTCAAAAGTAAAAGAACCTTAGAGACTTTGTGTTCTACTTATTCTCATTTTACATTTGTAAAGTCTTGGGACTGGAAGAACAGCTCAGTAGTAAGGCATGTGATTACAGCATGGCCAAGTTCCTGAGTTCTAACCCTCAAATAAAACCACCACATAGAAGGCACCACATAGAAACTCTAAATGTAATGTCCTAAAATGTAAGTGATCTGTGCAATGTGAACATATTAAAAACCCAAACTTTGTTGAATTCTCACTTGGTTATTTTCAACCTCCTCAGTTTTATTCCTTTTCATTCTCCACGATGTTCAAATCTATTAACCAAGTAGTTCTTTTGTTTCTCTTTAATCCTACAGCTATGAATTACATTCTGATTTCAAATTTTTCTGTGTGGTCAAGTAATTATTTTATCTGCCAACTCTCATGAACCTTTTATATTACTTACCATTTCTCCGTAGTTTGTGTGCATACTGTGTAAGTCAAAGGTCAACATCATCTGGAGTCTGATTGCATTCTACCTTTTCTCACTGAACACACAGATTACTGATAGGGACTGACCTTGCTACACAGCTTGCTCAGGATCCTGTCTTTGCCCCTGAGGACTGGAATTCTAGGCAGGCTGCTAAACCCACCTGCCATTTATAAATTCTGAGTTCAAAGTCACATTTGCTCAGTAAGTGCTTTACTCACTGAGCCACGTGCCCAACAGCTCATCAACTCAACCTCCTGAAAACTTTTCTTCCCTAAAGACAAACTTTATTATTCTAAGATTTGCACACCATCCAACACACTTTGGGTAAAACACAACTATTATAATGGCTTTCCAAGGGTTTATATAATAAAACACTTTAATTAATTACTATAAAAACATTATGTATAAAAACATACAGAAAAAACTAAGTTTCAATATTAACACACACATTCTATTCTGCATACTATTCTTGTCCTACCTTGAAGTAATCATCTTGAGTAACAAGAGAATTTCTCAGTCTGTTCTCGGGGTTAAATAGACAAGAGACCACCGTCTGTATGCTTCGGTCCACAGACTTCTGAAACATGGAAATTTAAAGACTACATCTTTTATTCACTGCTAACGGCTCTTAAAAAATATTTATTTATTATGTATACAATATTCTGTGTGTATGCCTGCAGGCCAGAAGAGGGCACCAGACCTCATTACAGATGGTTGTGAGCCACCATGTGGTTGCTGGGAATTGAACTCAGGACCTTTGGAAGAGCAGGCAATGCTCTTAACCTCTGAGCCATCTCTCCAGCCCTGCTAATGGCTTTTTGAAAGTATATTGAGCATATACACTACTAAGAAAATCTTTCATAACATCAAATTCTTACCATTTATTGTTTACTTTATATATAGTCCGCCTAAATTTAGTATTTTAGAAAATTTAAAAATTTGTATTTATTAAAACTATGGTATTTTGTTTGAAACATTTATTTTTCCCTATTACAGAAAGAATCAAACATTTTAATATTTCAAAAACATATTCAGGAAGATATGTTAGTATAATTGTTCAACAAGCTATTTTAATTTTATGTGTGCAAAATTTGGTTTTTTTGAGGCAGGATATCACGTAACCCTAGGACTGCCTCAAACTGGCCATGTAGCCAATGCTAGTTTTGAACTCCTTATTGTTTCGTAATTTTCTTATTCACTAGCACACACAGATGAGGGATCTGTCCAGTGAAATCTTTCGTTTTTTTCCCAACATGTCTACTTCTTTATTTATTCAACAATATGAATTAGAATTTTGAGATGAGAATATGATTAAAGAAATGACTAAATCAGGCAGTGGTGGCACACACCTTTAATCCCAGCACTCTGGAGACAGAGGCAGGCAGATCTCTGTGAGTTCAAGGCCAGCCTGGTCTACAGAGCTAGTTCCAGGACAGGCTCCAAAGCACAGAGAAACCCTGTCTCGAAAAACCAACAAAAAGGAAAGAGGGAGGGAGGAAGGCAGGACAGACGGACTATCTAATTTGGTATCAAACAATTACCATTTTAAAAAGCTAATGTCATAAATATTTTCAGAGTATCATAAATAATACATAGTACTATTTTGCTAAATAAAATATTTAAACTATAAAAGGCATGGCAAATATTCATACTAATAGTAGAAATCTGGCCACTGAATTCTACCAAATCATATTATAGACCAGTAACTAAAATATGATTTAAGAAAAATGCAATTAGAAGAAAAGATACAACAAAGGAATCAGAAACTCCAAGTTTGGATTATCTGAGGTATTATTTTCTTGTACATTAATTGCAGCGTTAAGTCCTCTGAGCTCTGCAGGTTGTAACTTTCATTTTTAAATCGTGGCAAATAGGTCAAAGAATCATAATATAAAATAAATTTTAAATTAAAGCAGTAAATAAAATTAGATGTTTGCCTTTTGTGAGCCATTTCCAGAGGCTGGAGAAGCTTCATGAACTGAACATTCATTTGACAAAACTTCAGTTCCTGAGTCAACTTCACTGCAATGGTAGTTAACAGTTGTATAAGCCTAAATTTAAAACGATAAAAGTATAATTAACAAGAAACATGATACATTTCTAAGTCATTCTTTAGAAGGTTATTTTTCAGAAATTGTTTTAAACTAAATGCTTAAAATTACTGTTTTAAAATGAAGTCTTTTATTTTAAAAATGCCTGTCAACATGAAAGTCAGTAGGAGTTTAAGGAACGATAATATGTAGTTAACAGAGTACCTGAGAATTCTCTCACTTTGTTTTTCAAATACCCAATCTTTATCTATGAAAGTTAACAGAAGCTCAGGTGGTTTACTGATAGATGGCATCACCTTCTTTTATTCTTTTTATAAAATAATATTAAGGGTAAAATGTTTCTATGTATTTTATTTTAGTTGCAAACTCAGGCAGATTCTAGAAAGACCACATGGTAACTCTGAATCTAATATTTAATAATATTTTCCTTGATTATACATCATGCCAATAAATAACCAAAAACTTATTGTTTATGAAGCAGCCACTGACTGGACATACAACAATAATGTGAAAAACAAAAAGCAGGTTTTTTCTCATGTGAGTATATTACTTAGATAAAGTAAAATACCTAAAATAATGTAATTAGAATATTTATAAACCTACACAATATTGCAAAAGAAATATATCAGAGGAAACTGTAAGACTAAGTAAGCAGAATACATTCAGCTAATTCATTTTACCGGAGGTATAACATAACTCCTCTGTTCCCCAGCCGGCCACTGCGGTGGCATCTTAAGAAAAGAAAACAAAGATTATTTAAACACCTACACATATTTTCAAAAGAGATAATTAGACAATGTTACAGTCTTTATCATGCTCTTAATTTCTTATTACAAAACAGTACTATCTGTGCATTTTTCAGTTTCTTCCATATATAAAACTCACATTTTCTCAAATGGAACTTGGCATTCAGGAAAATTTAAAAAGACAGGAGCACTTGGAAATTATTACTACAGCTACAGTTAAGGGTCATAAATATGGTCACATCTATTGGAAGAAATTCATGAAACTACTATTTTATAGCATCTAGCAAAATTATGCACTATCAATCAAAATTCGGTACTGGGTAGTATTTTTATTTCAACCTATCTTATAAAAACTTCTAAGTCAGCATGGATTTTTAAGATATTGACAGAAATGAAAGTATGTTGAAATAAGAACAGAAGATACTTAATCTTCATAAACAGTCTCAACAAATGTTTTTTCCTTGTCAAAATATTTACCTCTAAGTAATATTGATGTCTGAATTATAGACTAATTCTACTTTATATAGCACACTATGTAGCAATTTTATATAAAGAAAGACCAAAGTAGTATCTCCAAGTTATTTTACATTCCCTTAAATTATCTGATAATTCAAGTCCTTCTCTTCAGTGCTTAGGGAACCCTGGGGAAGAGGAGTCAGAGGGGATAGAGGACACCAGGAGAATATGGCCCTATAAATCAACACAATCAAAGCTCTTATGAATGCACAGGACTGAGGTTGCATGTACCAGCTCCTCTGCCTCTGTATTACGGCTTCCAGTTTAGTTATTTATGATATTCCTGAGTGTGCAAACAAATGGATCTCTAATTCTCGTGACTTCTCTTGGGCTCTTTTTCCTTCTGTGTTTTTTTCCTCCCTGGTTCAGTTTTGCTATGGTAGTTTTCTCTAACATACTATATTATTATTCCTTTTGTGGTGGATTGAATGAGAATGGCCCCATAGGCCCATATACTTGAATGCTTGGTCACCAGGGAATGGCACTATTTGAAAGGATTAAGAGGTGTAGCCTTGGGGGACTGGAGAGATGGCGCAGTGGTTAAGAGCACTGGTTGCTCTTCCAGAGGTCCCACATTCAATTCCCAGCACCCACTAGGCAGACAATTGTTTGCAGTTCAAGTTCCAGGGGATCCGACACCCTCTCCAACATATATGTAGGCAAAACACCAAGGCACATGGAATAAAAATAAATAAATAATTAAATAAAAAAAAGAAAGAAGAAATGTGTCACTGGGGGTGGCCTTTGAGCTTTTCAAAAGCCCAAGACAGAGACAGGGGCTGTCTGTTCCTGCTGCCTATGGATTCAAGATGTAGAACTCTCAGCTACCTCTCCAGCACTATTGTCTGCCTGCATGTTGCCACGCCGATAATGAACTAAACCTCAAACTGTAAATTGGCCTCAATTAAATGCTTTCTTTTATAATAATCACTGTGGTCATGGTTCACAGCACTAGAACACTAAGACACCTTACAAGCCTGTTTATAAGGAGTAGATCTGGATAGGATGAATGAGGACAGGTGCTGGCCAAGTCATTTTCAATTAAAGGAAAAAATACCTGATAATTATAAACTGGCAGCTGATACCCAGTGATGACCTGAACTGGTGAACTTGGATAAGGAGGGTACGCCTGAGAATAAAGGTCACAGAAAAACTGGATTAGTAAAATAAATTTGAGAAAATGAGAAAGAGTATCATTCACAATACAACAAAAAAGTATTTTTCTCCTTTTCTATATATATAGCAATTCAGGAGTCTAAAAGATTGGTTTTATGAGGAAAATATTTCTTGTCAAATGATAACCCACTGCACAGGAAGGAGGAAAAAGACAACTTAAATGACTGTTTTTCTAAGCCAAAATTCACCTTTGGAAGTTGCTGTACACTGATTATACATACAGTTGTAGCAAGGGAGTTCAATAAATAACATCTTCTGTTTCTTTATGAAAATACCTTCACAGATAAGGCACTCATAGCAATGTTAACAGAACGGAGAAGCTCTAACTTTTCTACAGCCTCATTTAATTTCTGAAAGTTAAGGAATTACAATCTGAAGCTGGAGAAGTGATTAAATCATTGTTTTTCGACCTTAGGCAACCTGGTCCTGGGAGGTTACCATATTGATGCCGAAATTAGTATGCTATGGCGCACTACAGCCCAGAACTCTTGGACTCAAGATATCCTCCTTGTCTCAGCCTCCCGAGTAAATCACGCGAGCACCACCACACCCGGATAAATCATTGTTTTCTATACTTCAGTATTTATTGACTAAAAGCAAGTAGTAGCACACAAATGCCTTATATCAGTAATGACTCACAATTTAGGAGTAAGTATAGATTTTCTTCTAAGTCATATTTTGAACAAGAAAAATAAGGCAAGATGCAGTCTGTATTCCACACACAATAAATATGACATTATTAATTTTTTTGCCAGAAACAGTCTCTAAAATTGAAAAGCATAGAAGTAAAATGTACCAAGAATGTTATTTAGCATAAATAGGCATAGTAAGCATGAAAATTTAAATATTAACCCACCTCAAATTAAATTCAAGAAACCTATGATTTATAGATAAAACCTATCAATTTTAGAGCTAAAATAAACCCAGGTGTCAACAACCTACATGAGGAGGCATTTGGAATTCACTGCAGGTCAAACACAGATGAACTGATCTTCTTTGGGAAGAACCAACTAAGAGGATATGCAAAGCTGTTCCTGAAAATTTATATAACTTTTTCAACTTGAAAAAAGAGGCAATAGTAAAATTCTTCTATATATACTTTATGTGTCTGAAAAATAAACTTTGGAAAAAAGAAATATATCTAATGTGGCTACCAAGGTTCTAGGATAAAGGCTTACAAACTATATAGAGGCAGATTTCATTTCAGCATGAGGAAAACAGCAATTAAGAATGAGAATAAACAAACAAATTCTTCCCATTTCAAGTATTCCAATAAGGACTGAACTGTATTACACTTAACATCCAAACCATGCATATGATTTCAGAGCTTAAAAAGACTTAACAAACCTAAGAACAAGAATGCCGGCTGTTATTACCTGAACATACTGAGTTATAGGATTCATCATGGTTGGAGGCTGCATGTATGTCTCAGCATTTGGACTACTCCAAACACTCTGAAACTGTGGTGGTGGAGGAGGATTAAAAATCAAAGGACGTGGCTGCACATGATAAGTACCTTTAAAAGAAACAAGAGAAAAACTTACACCGAGTTCTCTGAAAACCTAAACAGTTTTATCAAGAACAATTTCTGGTTTTACTCACATAAATTTTGTTTCCTGATTGCAGGGCCCAGTTTCAGCTTTTTACCATGAAAATTTATCTGTGACTAAAAACAGTAACAAATGATAATTTAATCCTTCACTTCTGAGACTTGGGCAAATACTACTGTGCTCAGCCTTAGAACTCTAATCAAAGCATCTCAAAGCATCAAGTTAAATTTTGTAAAGCCATTCTTCCCATTTCTAACTCTGTCTCTAGTTGATAAAGCTAAAGGCCCCCAAGCAAGCAGGTTCTGTTTAACTACATAAAATTACATTTTGGCCAGGCGGTGGTGGCGAACACCTTTAATCCCAGCACTCAGGAGGCAGAGACAGGCAGATCTCTGTGAGTTTGAGGCCAGTCTGGCCTACAGAGCTAGTTCCAGGACAGCCTCCAAAGCTACAGCAAAATCCTGTCTCAAAAGACAAAAATTAGAAGAATTTTTTTTTTATTTTAAACAGAAAGGAAGCCTATTTTTCCTTGTATTTTACATAAGACTGAATATCCAGTACTTTTCAAATCTAAAGCATTGCTAAAGAAATTTTCTGTAAGACTATTACTTACTTCTACTATCTTCTGCACATCCACGTCATTATAAAATGAAACAAATCCATAGCTAGAAAGCAGATAAATGAAATACAAAATCGTAACTACAGAGTACTATGATTTACACTATCTAATATTCTATAAAATAGCAGAAATGGTGATAATGGAAGACGAATATACTGTCGTAAATATGCTGAGACATAGACAACAGATCCTCTATAAATACCACTTTGTTCTCTTAGTCTAATGTCAGAATGGGCTAATATTCATTAACAAAGATCATGTAAGGCAAGACAGCTAAAATTTAAGATACTGTGAAATGTGCAAAAGGAATCTAATAACTCATGTTATTAGATTTGTGTGAGTTAGGAAATACCAAAATACAAATACTAGGAAAATAAACTGATAAAAAAAAACCTTCTATCCATAAAAAAAACAAAAGCAACAAGTTTTATTAATGCCCACTTAGAGTCTTGTCTGATATCCAGGCATCTCTCCAGCCATGCTCAGTTCTATAAACAGCAGCTATAGCAAATATATTTACATACCCCTTCGACACACCAGTTCGATCAGTGATTATCTTCACTTCTTTTACCGAGCCATATCTGGCAAAGAAACTCCTAATTTCGGTTTCATCCATCTATGAGAATAAATGAACTCCGAGAGTAAAAACTAAGCATTCAAGATTTCTAATTGCATTGTGAAAAAGAAATCTGATTATATGCAAGCCAATCTCTGGTATTCCGAAATTACTCTACTTTGATGAATGCAGTTTTAGTCTCTATGAGTTAAAACCAAAACTACAAAAATTTACAACAACGAAAAACCCTTTTAGGTCTACACATCAAATCCCATCATCCACAACATTTTAAATAAAATTTTTGAGCCTCTTAATTGTTGCCAGGGCTCCTCTTGGAAGTCCAGGGCTCATGCACTACTCCCACTTCTTCTCACCCAAATACTCCCTGGCTTCACAATGTATTTTAAAATGCAAACAAAATATGAATACAATACCCTAACATCAATTCCACCAACAAAAACAGTGTTTGGCATGATTTTGCCTTCTGGCAAAACATATCCTTGACTGGTGGCTGCTGATGAAGACTGGGTGCTGGCCTCCCTGGAGACAGCTGAATTTGGAGACTCAGAAGTTGTGGCAGACTGTAATTTAGAAAATAAACAATTTTAAAAATACATATACACAAACACATATGACAAACTGTATAAAAAATATACCTTTTATATTTAACTAAGTTAGTGTTACTCTAAATCACCTACCTATACAGCTTAGTTTAGCTTCAGGGACAGCAATTAGCAGAGAACTGGTGTGGAAATTAAACGAAAGGATGCAATACTTTCTGAAATATGATGTTTCTCAGTCATCGTTTTTAAAACAGTGTGTTAATCTGAGTAAGAATGGTCACTTCTTGAAAAGATTAGGGGTTGTAGACTCGTAGTAGGTGTGGACTTGTCAGAGTTGGGCTTTCAGATTTCAAAAGCTCAAGCCAGCTCAGAGGCTATTTTGTGTTCCTACTTAAGAACAACCTTATTCTTTTGAACAGCAAATTCCCTTCAATAATATTTCATGACAGTGAAATGACAGGGAGTAAAAAGATTAATGTTTTCCCTTCTTTTAATGTCAAACAATTTTACTTTTTTTTTCTAAATGTATGCTATGTATCTTCAACTCTTTAAAACTTGACTAGATTTGCTTTCCTACATCTGTCCAACTCTTTTCAATTTTTCATTCAAAAATAAATTCAAAACATAAACAGTGGTTCTGTAATTTTTATAGGACTCCCTTCCTCAACTGTCTCTTCTTTTATGAATGAAAATAGGCTACATTTATTTGATAAATAATTTTTTATTTCTGATGTCTGTAACACAAGGCATGGATGCTTTTTATTTAGAGATGTTATACTTCACAAGATAACTGTGTCAGAGTCTAAGAAGTAATAAATGCACTGATTCTCAGTGCTTTAGGGGCACTTAATATCTAGAGATATTGCTGGAAATCACCAGTGAGGTAAATGTCTGACATCTGGTAGGTAGGCAGCCAGGGATACAACTTCAGTATCCCATAATGCCAACTACAACCACCACCGCCACCAGCAAAGAATTGCTGGTACCAAAACCTGTATAAGGATGTGCTGAAAACTGTTATGTGTGATATCCCTAGAATTGAAGTGAAACATGATCGTTGGGGAAGAACTTGATTCTTTTTGCTCTTAAATAAATTACCTGTTTTCAGGATCTTGAATTCCTTGCTTGAAAATTAAGCAATTAGAAAAAAACCTCAAATGTCTTCTAATTATTTTCTTTATACAAAAGATGGGTATTTGAGGAAAATTTAACAATGAGAAAAATAAAGCATCAAATATTATAGGACACTCGATTTGGGCTTAGGCTTCCTGCTTAATTAGGGTAAGTATAAAATTTGTCTCATCTTAATAGTGTAATGATGTATTAAAGAAGGCACACCATACCCTGGCCTTTATCCAGTAGGTGGCACTCAAAGCTAACAAAGCAAAAGTACTCATTTTAACAAGCCCTGAACCACAGGCAGAGATGCTACTTACTGTATGCTTCACTTAGTGTTTAAAACACCCATAACCAATAGATGCTTTTTAAAACAAGACCAAAAATACTCTACAACCAAATAATCAGAATTTTATGTTCAAAATAGTATAATTTTTGAACTTTGGCTGACCTGAAGCTTGCTATGTAGATGAGTCTGCCCTCAGAGTCATGGATTTCCACCTTCCTCTGCCTTCTATGATTATTTTTAAAGACAATGTCTCATGTTGCCAAAGGGGGGTGGGCGCCTTAAACTACTGAGGCACTCAAGTGATCCTCTTGCCTTAGGCACCTGGCCCCCACTGCCTCCAGTAGTTGAGATTATGCACAAAATATACTGAACTTGGTAGAAAAATATCTTATCCATTAATAAGTGTAATAGCATATTAAAAACTGACTATTAAGTATAAGACAATCAATTCTACCTCCAAATGAATTGAGAAATATTGATACTAACAATGAACTTGGAAGCTATCACACATCAACTCTCCACAGTACAATAACATTGTATTTGAATATCCACATCAAAAATAGCTAGAAGTTGAGAATATTGTTACTAAAAATTCCAGGATAATGTTCTTTGAAATTTAATTAAATCACCATAGTAAGCAAATTGCCATGTATGTTACAAATACTGGCCCAAATAGTAAGTCTGATTTCATTAAATTTCTAACTCTAATGGAGAAAACTGTCCACAAGTACTTTACAGTACTGTTATTTTAACTTAACTGAGATTGACAAGTAATTTTACAACTAATATATTTACATGAAATTGCCCAACTTTATTTTAACATCGTCATAAATTATATAAATTTTCTTCCTTTACCGCTAAAATGGGGAAACCTGTAAAAATGAAATACAGCATATGTGACAATGCCAACCGACACGCTCGGTACTGTTCCCCGGGAAGGGGCTGGCTCTGTAGCCTGCCCAAGCTAGCCTAGAACTCGCATCTCCTCCAGCAGCCTCCTCTGTGCTGGGATTGTAGCAGAGTTGCTTTCGGTTCAGATCGCGAGCTGCCTGGTTCCCCTCCTGCACGCGCATGCGCACAAGCCTACCCAGAGCAACCACCTGGCCCTCTCAGGTGCCACTCCCGACAGGACCTAGCCAATAGCGTCCACAGGGCCGCAACAGCAGGGTGACGGTAGGGGTGGGGCAAGGCGCTGGGTAGGGACAAGCACAGGGTGGGGGTGGGGTGGGGTGAGGCAGGGGGGGGGAGGGGGGATAGGCACAGGGTGGGGGTGGAGCGAGGCGCGGGGTAGAGACAGGCACGGGGTGGGGATGGGCGCAGGGTGGGGGTGGGGCGAGGCGCGGGGTGGGGGATGGGCGCAGGGTGGGGGTGGGGCGAGGCGCGGGGTGGGCGCAGGGTGGGGGTGGGGCGAGGCGCGGGGTGGGGGATGGGCGCGGGGTGGGGAATGGGCGCAGAGTGGGGGGCTAGGCGCGGGTAGGGACAGGCACGGGGTGGGGGTGGGGAGAGGCGCGAGGCACGGAGATAGGTGCGGGGTGGGGATAGGGTGGGAGTCAGGTGAGGCTTGGGGTGGGGGTGGGGATGGGGCGCGGAGTGGGGGCCGGGCTATTGCAGGCCCTGAGGCCGGAAGGCGGGAAAGCGATGTGGCCCGAGGCCCAGGCTGAGCACGCGGTCTAGCCCGGAGCACCCAAGGTGCCCTGAGGCCGTGTCCACCGGCCTCCGGCCATGTCCCAGCAGCCCCGGTGTGCTGGTAGGCCGCAAAGTCGGCAGGGCCTCCTCTGGGGGTGTCAGGCGGGCCCCACAACCGGAATCCTCAAGGAACCCCACCTTTCCCTTCGCCTCATCTCCGTGCTACCCCAAAAACTCCAAATTTCACCCCATCTGAGGAGCGTGGCCTTCAGCCGGGCCCACCCCCACCAGCCGGCCTGCCCGCGACTCACCATGATGTCGGCTGGAGTTCGGTGAAAACACCTCGAGGTGGACCAGGCTATTCGGCCGCCTCACCCGGGGGGCTGTGGGCGCGCTGCGGGGCCGCCTGGCCTCCAACGGGCGAGGAGGAGGACGGAGACGCGGAGCCCCAAGCGAGCTGGGCCGGGGTCGCCGAGGCACTGAGGCGTGGCGGGCAGGGGCCGGGGGTGACTGTGCGTGACCTGGCCGTGCGGTGGGCCTCAGCCAATGGGCGGCCACGTCGGGCCCTCGCAGGACCCCCCCCCCCCAGGACCCACGTCACCCTCCGGGTGCGTGAGGGGTGCCACGGGGCATGCGCGAGGTACGGTGCCCCTGCCCGTGTCCTCACAGCCATAGCGAGTGACTCCAGGCGCAGGACCCCCCTTGACATGTGCTATATGCTCAATGGTGCCCAGAGTTTTGTTTGGAAAACTTTTATTTAGGTTATGACCACAAAATGGCCCCTTGAATCCAAAAAGTGTGGCCAGTGGCTTGAAATGAACAAAATGAGCGAGTCTCGGGCGTCGCCTGGCCGAACCCCTTGCCGCCTTCTGCCACATGCAGGAGGCGGAGCCCTTGGGAGGGATGGACGCCACCGCCATGGCGGCCCGCAGAGCCTCACAGCTTCCTTTTTTTTCTTTTAAATAAATGAGTACCTGAATTACCAGGAAAAACAGATGCAGCTGTGAACACATGAGAGTATTTCTTCCCGTGTGGAGTTTAAGTTGTAAGGGAAGCATTTCTCTTGTAGGCTTTACAGAAGGCCTGTGAAGAGAATTCTAGAACATTCTAACGTTAGCGAAAGCGGGCCTACCCACAGCAAAGCCAAGCTCTGGGTGGGTGATGGAGACGATCGTGCATTGCAGAACCACCTCGACCCCTTAGAACAACATAGGGTTTTCCCAGACAAGGTTTCTCTGTGTAGCTTTGGCGTCTGTCCTGGAGATCACGGTGGCCTCAAACTCACAGAGATCCTCTTGCCTCTGCCTCCCGAGTGCTGGGATGAAAGGCTTGCACCACCACTGCCCAAAACTTGCCTCTTGTACAGATATAACGTATTTAAATGATTTTTTTTTGACAGCAACATCATATACTTAAATTTCTCACTATGCAGACAATAATGGTGGATAAAATAACTAGCTAGCTAGCCTTATTTAGAACATGACTTTATAGAGGCGCCCATTTAAAATGGAAATTCCAAGGTACAGGAAAGGAAAACAAGCTACAAACTAGCGTGGTGAGGGTCTCTCTGGCTTTCGATAGGTGGCGAGGTTGTAGTGGGAACTGTCATACAAAGTGCCTGGGCTGTCCTAGTACAGAGAAAAAACAGCACACACAGTCTGCAGTGGCAGCTTAATGACAGTGGATTGGATGGTACTAACCTGTAGCTCCAGGCAGGCCTAGGTGTGTAGGGGAGGAAGGGCCAAGCTGAAGCAGTGCGGAGCGCTGTCTGGAACACACCCTGCCACACACCAGCACCCTTGAAAGGGTGGACTGAGAGCAGAGGGCGCCATGAAGACAGTTGTAATAAAAACAAGTTGTTTGTCTCTGATTAGAATTTGAAACTACACCTGTATTTCCCGAGTTTACATTTATGACATATATGTTAGTAGAATCTCAAAATGAAGAAACTGGTCTTCCCACTTCACTCTCCCTCTAGGCACGGTGTTTCCGGAATCCGTAGAAAAGGACTTTTCAAAAATAAGCCTACAGGAAGTGGGGCCTTGAGACGCGTTTTCCTAATCCCAGCTGCTTGGGAGGAGAGCTCAAAGTTCAGGGCCTCCCTAACGATTTACTGACACTGTTTCAAAATAGAAGCAAAGAAAGGACTGAGGATACAGCACAGTGCAGCGGGCTTGCTAGCACGTATGAAGGATGTGCTGGGTTTAATTCACTGTAGAACATGCACACACACACACACACACACACACACACACACACACACGGAGCGAGTAGAGCCCTCACAACAGAAGATTGTAAAGCATTTACCATGAATAGGAGTGGAATGTTTGGATTGTGTGTACTTTTTGCTTTTTCTGACTATTCCTTCACTACGCCAAGCGTTCTGTATTGCTCAAGCATTTCTTTTACTGCCTTAACGTACACTGTAAGTAGAGAGTGAATACACATCTTTCCTCTGAAATAGTTCAAAGGTAAATCCCTTCTCCCAGTTTAACTGGTCAGTTTATAGTTTCCTTCTGCTAACCTTCTGTAAATTAGCTGTCATATTTTTAGACCCAGCCACATAAACAACATTTTGCTCATCATTTATTTGCTTGCATTTCTCAGATCTTCCTGGATTATTTCCCTTGTACTTGTAGTAAATTCTTTTTTAAATTTTAATTAAAATATGATTAAGTCATTTTCCTTCTTCCTCTCATCCCTTACCCCTACCATGGACCATCCCCTTCCCAAATTCCTGTGGCCTCCTATTTTGTTTTGTATTAAACATTCTTGCATATACATACAAATAAGCAAACATGCAAACCCAGTTAACTGTATCCATTCCTGTTGCCTATCTGTGTATGTTTCTAGGGCTGCCCACTTGACACTGGATAATCAGTCAGGTGGCTCATGCCTGGAGACTAATTCTCCCTCTCTCAGCAATTGTAAATTACTTGTAGCTCCTCATCTAGGGGTGGGGTTCTGTGATATTCTCCCATCTTTGTCTGGATGTCAACTGTTCAGGTCTTTTTTTAAATTATTATTATTATTTTCATTCAATTTATTTTAATCATGTTTCCCCCCCTCCAACTCCTCAACTCCCTGCCTTTGGTAATTTATGTCTTCTCTATCTCTCAACAAAACCCCCATAAAATAAAAATCAAACAAGCAAAAGTCCAATAAGATTAAATAATGCCAAAACAAAAGTACACACACACACACACACATACAACAAGCAAACAACAATAACAAAATCTATGGAGTTTTCTATGTATCGGCCAACTACTCCCAGGCATGGGCCTGCCTCATGTGTGGCTAATATACCCAATGATGCTGCATTGCAGAAAACAAATGTTCCCTTTCCCAGCAGGTATCAGTTAAAAAGTAGCAATTAGGGTGGTAGCGGCACATGCATTTAATCCTAGCACTCAGGAGGCAGAGGTAGGTAGCTTCTAGTTCAAGGTCATCCTGGTCTACAAAGAGAGTTCCAGGTCATCCAGGGTTATACAGAAAACAAAAACAACAAAAAAACACAACAGCTAGCTTCTTGGTTAGAAGTTTGAAATTATTTCCATTTCCCCCCTCAGTGATAGGATAGCGTCTCCTTGAACCCATGTAGGACCTGTGCAGGTACTGTGCATGCCACTATGCATGTATCAGTTGTGTCTTATCTGGAAGATACTATTGAGTTGGAATCATCCATGACCTCTAGTTCTTCATCTCCTCTTTGCATAGATCCCTGAGTCCTGAGGAAGGGATTTGATGAAGATATCCCAGGTCTCTCAGCCTCTGCACACTGTCCAGTTGTGGGTCTCTGCGTTATTTTCCATCTACTGCAAGAAGAAGCTTCACTGATGTTGAGTTGAGTAAGGCACTGGTATGGATATAACAATATGCCACTAGAAGTCATTGTTATGTTCCTGTAGCAAAATAATTGTGATAGATTCCCCCAGGCCTATGACCTATCTAGTCTCAGGTTCTTGGCCACTTCAGCAAAGTCAGATATGGGCTCTATCTCATAGAGTGGGCTTTAAAAAAGTTACCCATAATATTTGTACCATGACTGCACCAGTATATCTTGCAGGCAGGTCAAAGGGTTTGTAGCTGGGTGATACTGATGATTAACTTTTGTCTTCTGGTAGCCTTTGGTGGACTGTCTGGCACCATAAACACTAGTTAGTAGGGGTGTCTGGTGGTTTGAATAGAGTGGCCCCTACATGTTCATATATCTGAATGCTTGGTTATTCGGGAGTGGCCCTACTTGAGAAGGAGGAGGTGTGGTCTTATTGGAGTGGGTGTGGCCTTGTTAGAGGAAGAATGTCATTGGGGTGGGCTTTGGGGGTTTCAAAAGCCCAAGTTAGGCCTAGTGACTCTTTCTTCCTGCTGCCTTTGGATCCAGAGATAGAACTCTCAGCTACCATGCATGCTTCCATGCCTACATTCTCCTCACCATGATGGCAGTGTG